CTCTTGAAGTTGTCTTTTTGCTGCATCCTCATATAGAACCACATTTGTTGCATTCCTCCCATTTGCCTCACTGTTAAGAAGTCGATCATTGAATGCAAATTATTCCAACAAGCATTGCATCACTAACCTATTATACATAAAGTTCTTTGACCTCACCTACTAGCAAAAATGCGAGCAAGTAAACGCTCCATATCTGTGAGTTTGGATAATGCTTTCCGAAACTCAAGAGAATAAGATAAGTTATCCCCCTAGACAGAAAATATAAAAAATATTAGAAAAGGAAACTTCTTTCAAAGTTAAATATAGTAACAGACATGCTCCTACACTGCCTCAGAAAAATAAAAGTAAACCGTACAACAAATGCCTCATTAATTGCTGTAATTATTAAACCTACCCGTAGGCTCGCCACAGCACCTTGCCTAGCTTTAATTGATTCTACGTGATATAAAGGTCTTGCAAGCCATGTCTTAAGTAACCTTTTCCCAAATGCAGTTACACAGTGGTTCAGTTGTGAATAGAGCGTCCTGAAACAAAATTGAAATTTGAAACACTTCTCAGAATAAGCTTAAAGCAATCATAAATAATACTCGGAAATGTGGACAATGAAAGGCTACCCAGAAGAGCCCCCATTTCTACTGTTCTCAAAGATCTCCAGATTCTCCAAGGCAGCTGCATCAAGAACCATATAGGGTTTTGAAATAACATCATTGAAGCCAGAACAAGGAAGTAATTCAAACTTCGCAAATCTAAGCAATGCCTCATCCAGGAAAGCCTGCTTCAAATAGAAAAGGATTCCTCCAAGAGCTGAAAGTGCCCAAGACCCATTTTCACGTGCATTAATTAGTTCAGATAAAACATCTGGCAAGTAGCCCAACCCATCTTTTTCTCCAGGAACATCATCATTGAGTAAACTTTCTTCATTAGACGATCCAAGGAATGATCGATTAGCAATGCCCTTAAACAATCTCTTGACTTCGTGAACACTTTTTTCAGCATCCCAGAATTCCAATAATGGAACTAACTCATTCACTAAAGGATTTCTCGTATGAGTGAGTAGCACCCTCTCCGTTTCAGGACTTAGCAGTTTAGAAGGTTTGATAATTTCAACTGGCCTAAGCTCGGACAAAAGACAGCACAGAGCACTGCACTCCGCATCATCACCAAACTGTTGAAGATGAGCAGCAAATTAGTAAAAATATCATTTGATTGATGTACTGCACATTGCTTATTCATCACCCAATGAAAATGCAATTCATAACATGTGACAACATAAAGTGAGTTCATATATGGTAGATTATTTATTAGTACTCATATAAAATAGTATAAACCCATACCATGCACATTCAATCACTGATACAAAATAGACGACATGTTCAATTAATCAAGAACCACAATAGTCCATGAGTTCAAGACCTGGTTCCCTTCTATTCCTCAAGGAAAATGCCTAAAAATATGTTGGATAGGTAGGGAGATAAATTTTATCTTCCAGTGTTTAAGCAAGGGGAGAAAACTCACACAACAGTAAACTTGAGTTCTATTCAACATTTTACCTGCCCAAGGATAATCCTACTGGTGGCCACATCAACCACACAAACCCCTAAAATCCGTTCTGCTGGCTGGTTTTCCAAGCCATGGAATTTTTCAGTTACTGCCATGAGATATGAAGCATCAGGATTCAAAGATAGCATCTCACCCTCAGTTAGTGTTCCTTTTGTGACTACTGCACATATTTCACGTTTCACAACCTGTAGACAAGACAACAAATAACATTGTTACAGCCTTATGATCTCATCACAAAAAATTTGCTCCTGGCATCAAACTTCTAATGGGTGGGACAAGGCATAATTCTTAATCTTCGTGGATAAAAAGTAACTACTCAAATTGGGTAATGGAGGCAGCTTATGATATTATACATGCCTTATCCTTAGAACCTTTCTCCTTTCGTCTTTTCTCTAACTGTTCAGGAGTTTCTGTCTGCTCTATAACAAGAACTCGATAACCCTGCTCTGCCAAGGCAGCCATAGTTAAATGTCACCTTGGAAATGTAAAAGATCATAAAGGATTTATCAAACCAATATGCTGGATAAATAAATCCCAAATAAAAGGAAAAAGAATGACAGCTAACCTTCCTTGCCAACTTCTCCACATTCATTGAAAAGTTCTTCTCAGGGAAGCCACAGTGAGGTTGTTCTCCCTTTCAATTTTATAATTAGATAAAAAAATGTTAATCAATAACCAGAGAAACAAAAGCAAACACCATACTACGCAGCACATACAATGGCAAGGAAGTTGGTTAGTTTGGGAGAGAAATGCTGCAACAAAATGCAACCTATCATAATGCACGTACACTGATACATTCACGTTGACTGGTTTACTGAAACATAGCTTCCTCAGTGAACATTTCAGTGACTTACCTTCATATATTGCAAATCAAGCTCCTTAGCTCCTACGTGTGCATCCATTTCGAAAAGTTCATAAAATTTCCCCATCTGCTTCAGATAAAATGTAACAGTATTACTAGCTGAGTATTACTAGCCAATAGTTAGCTGAACCACTAATTAACCAGTGAACATAGAGGCAGACCTTGAAAAACAGAACTTTATCCATGTGCTTTGACTTAAACTCCCACCATTGTCTCTGTACACGGAAGATCAAGAAGGAAATTAACTCATACAACTTCATCCGTATCGAGAAAAAAAAAAATAGAAACCTTATGAAAAATGTTCAATAATTAAGTACCTGACCATCTGATAAATTCTTCAAGAAATGAGGAGGCAAATACAAAGTTCTTGGATCATAATCAGGATCTCCTGGATGTCTTTTGTTTGCATCCTTCCTGTCTCTGATTGAATACCCAGGTAATTCATGAAATAATGAGTATCACACACCAAAATGGTCTATCACTGCCGTGAATAAGGAATGCTTCAATCTTTACTTTCTTCATATTTTTTAATCACATAAAAGAGACTCAAACTAGAGTGGGGAAAATGATGTAGAATTAAAAAAAAACAAAACATATATAGACAGCTTACGCCTTTAGAAATCGGAACTTTTCAGCTTCTCGCGTGTTGAACCTTTCTAAAGCATCGTTCGCAATTTCATTCATTCCATTCAAGACATTCACCCCTGGGGAGATAAGAGGGAAAAAGAAAGTCTACATTAAGCAACAATAGAGACAACTTTAACTACACAAAAAACTCAGGGAAGATAGACGCTTTCAGGATTCAATATTCAGAAGAGAATCAAAGTTTAAGAAGGTTCATAATTTCAACAGACTAAAAACAGGCAACTACAATCTAAGTGTCTTCTTCTGAACCAATCCACATTCTCTTCTTGATACTACAGTCTTACAGTAAGAACAATAACAAGAATTTGTTAACTAACTGCTAACAAACGAAGCACAATCACAAAGTTCAATTCAGGAAACAAACTATGCAGATAAAAAGACATATTTATTAGTGTGAAGTGCTTCCTTACAATTATGGTTTACAGCATTGCATAATCCAGCAACGAGATATGACTTTAAGCATTAATGTTCATAGAACTGATGTTGATCGAAATGTTGGCCTACATATCTAGACTATAAAAATGACTGAATGCAAAAAAGAAAGCTGGTAGACCCATCACTCACTATCGGATTTGATCTTAGGCTCCACTGAAGATAGCCCAGAAGGCAAGTTTCCACCGCTACTCTTGCTTTTCTTTGGAGCTCCTACCACTTTCTCGCCATTGCTTATCTTACGCTTCTTGGATTCCAAATTCCCACCTTGCTTTCTTCTTGACTTGCCCACTCCATCGTCCTCATTCTCATCTTCTTCATCTTCCTCCACCAACCCCAAATCATCCTCATCACTCACCTCATTCTCCACATTTTTTCCCTTCCCCCAATCTTCATCTCTAGAATCATCGCTGGCGTCTCCATCGTTCAAATCCTCCTCGATATCTTCTACCACCGCCGCATTCATCGGCGATGAAGAACCCCGTCGCAATCGTTTTAACTTCTTCTCACTTTCCTCAACCCACTCGATCTTCTCATTCCCCAACACCAGTGACTCCTCCTCCGCATCGTCATACTGCACCAGATGTTTCCCATCCTTCTCATCGAACATTTTCACACGACCCTCGTACCAGCTCTTATCCAACGGCCAATAAACCTTAATTCTCTTCCCAACAACCCCATCCCCGTACGACTTCTCCTTCACATGAGCTATAGGAGAAGGACCGGGAGAAGAAGATGCAGCACCGCCGCCCCCGCCGCCGATGACCAACGGGGTCTTCTTGCGCTTAGACTGTACAGAAGAAGGAGAATTAGTGCTAGGGCTAGGGTTCGAAGTCGGACTCAAATTGAAATGTGAATCACGGTTAGTTTTATCGGTAGAGTTCTCTCCGGTGGATTTCTTGGTAAAGAAGGAAGTGATTTGACGTTGTTGGTTTACCAATGGCGATCGGCCATTGCTGGTTCGACGAGATGATGACATTTGCTTCTTTGATGAGTGTCGTGGCGACGAACGGTAGAGAGAGAGAGAGAGAAAACGGCGTACGAGATCGAAGAAGATGAAAGAACTTCGAGGTATAGAGTGAGAGAGAGAGTGAATGGCGGGAAAATGGGCGAGAAAATTGCCGGGAAAAATGTCCGAGAAACGAGGACGGCGGCGTTGTTTGGCGGGAAATGTCGGAACCCGATATTACATGTACGGAATTTCCTTCAATCCTGATTGTTTAATTAAATATATTTCTTTTTTTGCTGCAAAAAAACATTTTACTAATTAGCAAACAATTTAATTATTAATTTTTATTATATTAAGCAACTAATTACACAAATAATTCAGCTAATTTCGAAATAAAATAAAATGTATGCTTAACCTTTTTAAACTTTGGATTTATAATATGAATTAAATTTAGACTATAACCGACCGAAATTTTATTGCACGGGTTGAACATTCTTAGTTTTCATTTGATAACCCGCTCTATGTCATCCAACCTACTGGTTCCACGACAACCTCGCGTTGATTTAAAACTTAAAAATAGCAATAATTATTAACGGTTAAGAGCTCGAATATTTGGCCCAAATATATGTAATTATATGATTTTATGTGACGTCTGAATAAATTAGAGGTATATGAATAAATCGATACAACATTTATATGAGAGCAATTGCATGGACAGGATTGTTAAGAAAAACTTAAAATAATCAAAAATTACTATATATACCAACAAGATGCAAGTTCGTTTGTCGTGGCTAGTTCATACTAACTTCATAAGCAAGCATGTTTTGTTTAAGTGATTTTAAAACGCACCGCTAGCATATATTGTCCGATTTGGTCTGTTATGTATCGTCGTCAGTCTCACGATTTTAAAACGTGTCTACTAGAAAAAGGTTTTTACATCCTAAATGTTTCGTTCTTATCTCCAACTGATGTGGGGATCTCACAATTCACTCATCCTCGAGGGCCAGAGTCTTTGTTGACACACCGCTCGGTGTCTAGCTCTTACACCATTGTAAGAGCTCGAGTCCATCGCTAGCAAATATTGTCCACTTTGGTTCGTTACGTATTGTTGTCAGTCTCATGGATTTAAAATGCGTCAACTGTGGAGAAGTTTTCATACTCTAAATGCTTCGTTTTCCTCTTTAACCGAAGTAGGATCTCACAAAATATGTTGTCCTTGAACCGATAACCATCTTTCGGTTAACTTAGCCTCCTCCGTCCCTCGGGACCAATAAGGGGCAGTACAGGAATATTCACCTGTTGTCCATCGGCTACGCCTTTCGGCCTGATCTTAGGCCCTGACTCACCCTCCGTGGACGAACCTTGCGGAGAAACCCTTAGGTTTTCGGGGCATTGGATTCTCACCAAGGTTTGCGTTACTCAAACCGACATTCTCGCTTCCGCTTCGTCCACCACTGCTTGCGCGGGTGCTTCCCTCTGACGCGGAACGATTCAACCTTTTCAACGACCCCATGTCTCATTTTCACATCCGATCGGCGATTAGTGGCAGTCCCTTCTCTCTCTATCCAATGCACTAAAATTTTGGGAACTTTTTGATAGAGCTTTTCCAGCCCACAGAAAACCAGAGGGAGCTGCTCAACAAGAATCTTCCATGGCGGCTGCTCCACCGCCGAAATCTGCTCTATCTCTATCCATCGGAGACGAAAACCGATGGGATACGACGAACGAAGTTGAGGAGGACAAATGCGCGTTCCTAGTCGTAGCTCTCTGCCCTTGTCTCGTATGCTTCTGCCTACTCATAATAGTAGTTTTCATTGTTCTCATCGTGAAATTTCACTTCCTTTGCCATACTCCTCTTCATCATTTGATGTTCAAGAACAAATGTTGATCAATTTGCCTCGAGAGATTTGAATCTGGAATTTCGCTATCTTCGGGTATTGATTTGGTTGAATGAATTTAGGGTTTTCTGATCTCAGTAGTTGTGATTTAGATCTAGAGTTCGAGATATAATTGGTGATTAGTTATGTGATTTTGTTTCATAATTGGGATTTGATGCGTTTTTTAATGGCTGATGCATATTGGGAAACTCTACAGGATGATATTGTTACTCTTTAGCTTCTAAGCACCATCCAAAGTGCTTGAACATAGTGTTGTACCAATCAATATGCTAGACATGGAACTATGTTTGCATCACTAGCTTAAAAGCTTCCACCATTTTTGAGGACTTGAATGTTTGATTACTACTATACCATACTGGGAGAAAGATTGGCTGTGTCCAAACCTCTGCAATAATGTTTCAATGCGAGTTTTTGAGTTGAAGTTTTGTATAATGCTGTGAGAATTCACATTGGTCGGAGAGTAGAACAAAACATTTCTCATAAGGGTGTGAAAACCTCTCCCTAGCAAGAAAGCTCAAAGAGAATAATGTATGCTAGCGGTGAGTTTGAGCGGTTACAAATGTGGTTGAGGTAGCCATTGGAAGGGTTGAGCAAACACTTTTTGAAGGCTGAATGACAGCGTTACGCGTACGTGTACCCGATTTCAGTTGTTTTTAAGGGTTGTTTAAGTGCTGAATTGTGATTGGAAACATTGTGGATAAGGATTCTGATTGAGACTGGAAACTGTTGGATCTGAAAAGGGCTTAATCTTGGTAGTACTGGTTGCAATATTCTACGCTTGTAGGCTTGTTAAGGTGTAGGGACAAGGTCTGATGGGAAATGGCCCAGCAACCTGATGTTGAAAGTTAGTCAAATTGGTGCTGAGATTTGAACTTCCTGCAAACAAACAGTGATGAACAGATCAGTTGGGTCGAGCGTTGGTCGTTTTAACGCAGCTGGGTCTCTTTGTTCTTCTTTGATGGAAACAAACAGTTCCCTTCTTGAAATAATGATATACATCGAAGGATTGAACGACGTTGCAGCGAAAGAAATCAATGCTCGTTGACTTGATTGCAAGTAGCCGACTGCCAATCCTTTGACAACTTGGGGTAAGGGATGTTAGATGATGAAAGTCACACATCAACTAATTTAGGGAACGATCATGAGTTTATAATCAAGGAATACTCTCTCTATTGATATGAGACATTTTGGGGAAGCCCAAAGCAAAGCCACGAGAACTTATGCTCAAACTCTTCATTGGTACGAGACTTTTTGGAGAAATCCAAAGCAAAGCCAAGAGAGTTTATACTCAAAAGTTATACTCAAGGTAGATAATATCATATCATTGCGAAAGGTCGTGTTCATCGACAGCACCTGAGCGACAGCCTGACTTTCCAGGCAAGTAAATTAGCTTGCTTGTTTTAGTTCTACTTTATCCATTGCTGTCTGTTGGTAGCAAGAATCTAGTAAGTCCTTTTCATTATTCAACTTTCTTTTTTCTTTTTAGTTAAATTCTATTATTATTATTAGTTTTAATCTCATTTATAAGCTTGATTTTCAAAAATAAAAGATAAAATGATTATGAAATAAGGTATATTCTTTTAATTCAATCTTTCTTAGCCAAACAAAAATAATAAATCAAGCTTATAACCTTTATAAACTTAATTTTAATATATATATATATATATATATATATATTTGATTGCTTCAGAAGGACGGCTATGATAATTAAAACATTAATTAATATTTGCACTTAAACTAAGGACAGCTAACCATATTATGTAACAAAATTAATAATAACAATAATAAAAGTAACCACTTATTAATTATTCCATAAAGAAATGCGAAGAATAATTGTTGTAAGAAATTTAAAAATAATTTAATTATGACAAATTGAAGTATATGCTAAGACATGACGAGTTTGGATTAATTAGATAATGGGGACAGCCTTTGACCTTATTTTAATATCATTTATACGCTACCAAAACTCTCATGCATGCAATTTTTAAATTAATTATCTGTATTTTATCATGGAATATGATCATCTCTAATATCGATATCTTATGTGATATCTAAGTCAATTATATTCTAAGAGGTAAACTATACTCTATTTTGTATTAATTAATTACTAGGGACATAAAAATTTTAATGAAATAATCTCAATAATTTGTCAAAACCATAATATTAATAATTAATCAAAGCATAAAATATTAATATAAATACAACTTATATTATATTACACGTCATTGCCAATTGCCAACCCATTCGAAATTCTGGACGTGGCCGCCACTCAACGTTTACCTTCTTCGTTCTCCTTATTTACATTCTCAGATTCTTCACTTCATTCTGCAACTTCCGAGCTATGGCTATGGCGTCCCAAGAATGGCCGCGAAACGTCAATCTCATCTTCAAGAAATTCTTGCATCTTCTCACTGTCACTCTCCTCAGCCTCTCGCTTCCACTTTCATTTCTTCTCTTTTGCAGGCTCGCTCGTTCTCAGTATCTACAGGCTTTTCTTTCTCCGTCAACGCCTCTTACTTCTTCTTTCGTTGCATATGCTGACCGAGTTCTACTTTTGGTTCTTATTTCTCTCATCGCCATAGCTGCTTTTCTCGATAACTTGCTTGGTAAATCGATTCTTCCGGCGAGACCGTCTGGCCTGAGCGCGGCTTGGATCGGTCTATGTGCGTTACAGGTCGGTATGGCGTTGGGAATGGACGAGGGATTGGCGATTGCTATCGACGCCTCGAGCATAGGATTTCGGAGAAATTTGTGGTGCCGGTTGATGTTTTTCTTAGGGTTGCATACGGCGATGATTCATTGGTCGAAGGCGGCGGTGAAGCCGGTGGTGGACGATACCGTTTTCGGAACGCCTGTGGAGGAGAGTTGGAGTGAAAGAATCGCCATGGCGGTGAGCTTTGGGGGATTATGGTGGTGGAGGTTGAGAGATGAAGCTGAATCTCCGGCGATTGCTGCGGAAAGCAAGATGGAGCTTCTTATCGACCTAACTATGGTGGATTTCGCCGGTTGGGCTCTCTATTACCTCATTATCGCAATCGGATTCGTTAAAACTTCGAGAATCTTTGTTTGGTTTCTGAAATTTATCCTTCGCGAGAGGAAGGAGGAAAGTTCTTCCCAATTCTCCCAATCCAAACGGATTGAAGTCGTCTGAGATTAAGCCTCTTCTGTAACTATTGATTTCTCCTATTTGAGTTATTTCATTTTTATGGGTAAATCTCTCTCCATTTGAATTCTAGGAAGATAAATGTTACTGCAATTTTCAACTATTCCATTGATCATTGCTCTGACTTATTCCCTTTCGCATGTAATCTCTGTGCAGCCATTGAAGATGGTTGTGGAGGTTTCCAGCGCCGAGAGATTGTAATATTATTATATCTCTACAATTTGTAATCATTCTGATAAAGAAAAGAGCCAACAATAAGTCATCTCTGTTCCTTGTTTGTTCTTATGGCTTCAATTTCAACATTTTTTTGGTTGTCTGGTTAGAAAATGACAAGAAGAAAGCCTGTAGAGTTGAGATCATTGACTCACCAACTTGTTTGGTTATTTATGGACTCTGGTTCTTGATCTTTTCTTTAAGACTTGTTTGGGACTATTGATTATAGTAGAATAATCCATAGGGATAGAAACAGATTTAGAGTAGATTTTTGGTTGTTTTGTTTAGAGAAATCTCTGCTGTCACTGAGCATAGAACACTCAATCAGCTTGATCTAAAACTGAATGTTTATTGTTTTGTTTAGAGAAACCTCTGCAGTGACATCGAGCATAGGTTTATTTATCAGCTTCCTTTTGCTCTTAAATGGCCGATGGGGTTTTTTTTTCCTCTAACCATTTGATTTCAATGTCTTGCAGGCAGGAGGTTTCTACCCCCTCTAATGGCAGCCAGGAGAAGCAGGGGACTGAACTCAGATGCAAAGAAGACGATTCTCTTTAGAATGGAAGTGTTTGGAGATTTCAACCTCTATGAACAGAACATTTCCAAGATTGGAGATCAAGCAAACTGTCAACAATCCTCCTTAGATTGTTTAATTCTCGATCAATTGCTGTTCGGTAATGACTTATCATAATATTTCTTACAAGGGTGGAAATCTCCCCTAACAGAACATTTTAAAAATTTTAAAGGGAAGTCGAAAGAGAAAGAGGACAATATTGACTACCGGTGGGCTTGGACTGTTACAAATGGTATCAGAACCAGTTACCGGACAGTGTGCAAGCGAGGATGCTTTGCTCCCAGGGGTGGATTGTGTTTTTTGTAAGGTGTGGAAACTTATACCTAACAGGCGGTTTTAAAAACATTGAGGGAAGTCGAGAAAGTACAAAAAAGAAAATATCTACTAACAGTGGGCATAGGGTGTAACAGATATGGCCGTAGAATCTATTAATTTCGACTCCAGTTTACAAGTTTTGAATACATGTTTAGAGCTTTGCAGCTGCTAAATAGCTACGACACCAAAGTCAAGAGAATGAAGGTGACAAATCTTGACCAAAGAAGCAGGGTTTTAGATGAAAGTCTCACATAGGCTAATTTAGGGAATGTTCATTGTTTTATAATCAAAGAATACTCTCTCCGTTAGTATGAAGCTTCTCGGGAAGCTCAAAGCAAAGTCACGAGAGCTTATGTTCAAAGCGGATAATATCATACTATTGTGGAGAGTTGACTTCATCTAACACAGTGAAACCGCCACTACTTCATAAGACAACAATGAAAGATCCAAGTCTCATGTGGTGCAGGGATTGAAAACGTCCTTGCATGAGAAGGCAACGATCGAGTTTCGAGGAGTATGAAGATTGAGGTGTGGAGGAGGGCGTTTTTTTTGGAAAGAGAAGGAGTTAGAACGATTTTTAATTATGTATTTGACATGTCTCTAAAATTTAAAACTTAGTTGAAAGGACATAAATACATTACATACAATCTCAAATATTTATATAATAATTTATAAAAATTAATCTCGTGTCCAATTTGAAAGTTAACAGGGTTATTAAATATTTTACCGGAATGTTTAACCGACTAAACATGTAATTTACCATCTCGAGTAAAAAAACAAATTTTATAATTTAACCCCTCGATAAAAACAAAATTTATAGTTTAACCCCTAAAGAAAACTAATTTAATACGTTTACCCCAAACAAACGGTGCGTTGACGTGTTCAAGTGGACCCCACTCTCCCCGATAGGCAAAGCCCAAATAAAGACTCGAGCCAAGGCAGCAACCCGAAGACCGTAACACAGTTTCCATTATCCGGCGTCATCCAATCGCTTCGATCTCCTCTGGTAAACGAAACAAACCCTAGCTTCTCTTCTCGATTCACTCTTCTCTTTGATGTTTCGATCGTTTCTTCACCTGTTTTTCTTATCCAATCTTTGCTTTACGATTCCATGGTTTAATTTCATCTGATTATGCGTATGTTGAATCAATGCGTTGCTTTTTGTTTGTTGACATGGTGATTTCTATTCTTTCTGGTTTGGATTTTTTGGATCTGGAATTGATATGGTATCGGCGCGAGGACTGGTTTTATACTATTTGTTTCTTTTCCGGCAAAACCTAATTTGATATTCGTATTTAGATTTGAGAAATTGCGAAGGCTTATTGGGTTGTTTGAATGGAATTCTTGGGTGTTGCCTTCGTAATAGAGCCCCTTATTTTTTCTGGATGATTTGGAGTTTGGAATGGAGAATCGTTATTCACTAGTAACTAATTTATGCATTTTCTGTGTGCTGAAGCCTGCTCTAGGGTTCATCGTTATGTATGTGTTTCTTTAGCATATAGAAATGCATGTGTTGTTGGAATAGATGACATACAATAGAGAAAGGGGAGGATGAGGAATTCAATCCATAACTCTAAGAGGCTAGTAGTTTACCAGGACATACTTAATCATATCAATAAAGATAGATGCAGAATTCTGTTGAATAAGATGGCCGGGCCATCATCCGTTGTTGCTCTTTTTTCGTTTCCCATAGGATCGAAATCAAATGAGTTCCCATGAGGGATTACATCGTTCGATGGTGGACGAAGCTTTGTTTCATCCTCCTTTCAAAGATAAGGGAGTGTCTTGCAGATGACAGCCTTTTTTTTTTTGGATATTTTGTAGCCCCATTTGACTTGAGAGAAATAGAATGATTTTCGGGGGGTGAATATTTGTCGGGCGGAGGAGGAGGGTCTTTAGCGAGGTCCATGGCCCCCTTTGGGTTTTTTATCACTAGAAAATTTTATAAATTCTTATTTTGAATCATTGAAGCCCTTTTTTAGAGACTTTTGCCATGAACTCCCTTTGTCTTGTGCTAATTTGTTTTGGGTATGCTCACATGTATTTTCTTTCATTTTTCTCCATAAATGAATCCTTTCTTCCTTCCCTTCCTTTCTGAAGTAAGGAGAGTTGTTCTTGCTTCTTGAAGGATGAAAGTCTTCATTGAACTTGCCCTTGTCCTTTGCAAATAGTTCTGAACTATGTTGTTGTGCTTCCATGGGCTAATATTGTGTATGAAATTAGAAAAGATTATATGGTTAGGTCTACTTGTTCTTATAATTGTTTGTGTTCGATCTCTCGGGCAGATTTTCGTACCGTTTTTGAACAAGAAAAACAAATGGCTGCTGGTAAGGTGGCTCATGTCACACTTAAAGGACCGAGTGTCGTCAAGGAGATATTGACAGCAATGGGTGTTGCTCTGTTTGCTGGTAGCTTTTGGAAAATGCATCAATGGAATGAGCAGAGGAAAGTGAGAGCTTTCTACGATCTACTGGAGAAGGGTGAGATCGGTGTCGTTGTCGATGAAGAATAGATAGATCGTTCAATCTATCATGATCTTGTGGAACACATTGGTCAACATGTTTAGTATTTGCTCTTGGATTAGAGATATAACATGCTTATGTTTTGCAACAATTTCTGCAAATAAGACATGAGGGAGGGAGACTGATTTTTCTGGACTTCTCGTGATCTATTATGCGACTGTGCATCACATTCAACTTTTTCCTCACCAGAGCTGACAAGCCTCAGTCCCATCCCCTATTGCTTGGTTTCCTCAATAAACAGGACAACTTGTGAGTTTTATGAACAACATATAACACTTTTTTATGATTTTTCCTTTGGATTATTTGACTTGGTAAAATGAACTCAAGTTTTTTTTTTTTTTTTTTTTTTTTTTTTTTTTTTTTTTTTTTTTTTTTTTTTTTT